GGGCCAGTTGGCAGGGTCGGCCGAATCCTATCCTAAGAGGTCCAGATGAGTAGAAGGATCGAGGAAGTCCTAGTACGACCAGGATTCTCGACCAGCAAGAAATAAAGTCTCAAAAGGAGGAAAATTCAGAATCCCAGAGAGGGTAGGATTGTTCGAGCTAGAGGTAAAATGGGACAAGGACTCCCAATCCAAATCCGAATGGGTTTCAGGGAACGAGGTGCTATAAATACAAGAAATTACGCAATAGAAAAGACCCCTTCACAATCAGCATACAATTGCCCTGCGCAAAACCTCTCAAACACCTTGAGATTTTTCCTTTTCTTTTCCTGCCGACACATCTTCAGTTTGGATAAACAGCACTGTGGAAGCACCCGGCGAGCATCTTCAGTTTAGATAAACAGCACTGCTGCCGCAGAATCAGCCGACCGAGGAGCACCTTCAGTTTGGATAAACAGCACTGCGTCGAGGTCGACCGATTATCTATCTAAGTCTCAGCCGAGAAGGGTTTTCGAACCTTTGTTGGTGGAGGTCATCCTACTAAGCCTTTCTGGCATAGTTGGGTGTCACGAATTGCATTGCTCGGCGCATTGGACGCCGAGTGGTTTTATGATTGGATACTCGCAAGTAAGCTTCAGGGTTCGGCATTCAGACGGCCGAACTACGTTTACCATCAAGACATATATCACATTCGAGTACCTGTGTCCATATAGTTTGGTCTCGATTCGGCGTGCTTATACTCTTACGAATATAATCACAGTGACCGAATCAGGCTCCGACGACTTGTGAACTCCGTAGAATTAGTAGCCTTGTCTTCAGGCTATAGAACCCAGAGGCCGAGAGCGTTCCTTCCTCGGTCGCAATCGCAAGATACAGAAGTCAACAGCGTACCCAACGCGACAACATCAAATTTTACTCCTCGGCCGAGCTCGGCCGACGAGTTGGCACGCCCCGCATTCAACCGAATGACGTAGTTAGCTTATTAATTACTCGGCCTGCGCGCCACGTAGGTTTTGTAATTTTTATAGTCAACAGTATCGTACAAAATTCTTTATGAAATATATAAATGGAAACTAACAAATATATAGACACACACACTATATTAAAGAAAAAACCCACTCATAATTGCTTGCGATGTCACATCCTTTCGAGCTAAGAAAGCTGGAGTCTTCGATAGTAATCACACCAATTCGAGAAATCTAGGGAACTTTTCCCCCCGATCGATCTTCGTCGGAAAAATCAAGGAATCGCTATGAAAAATCAAGAATAATGGCAGCGACCACTTTGCGTTTTGAACCATCAACCTAGCGTCTTGAGCACGTTAGGAGAAGTGATGGTGGTCTGGATGGTTTGCTAGAGGAAGAGTGGCGGGGTGGTGGTTGTTGGGGTCGGTCTCGGCGTTCATCTGAGATGAGGAGAAGGCTAATGGAAGGAGAAAGACGAGAGGGAGAAGAGATAAGGGAAAAAGAGAGTCCAAGTGATGGAGAATGATGCCACGTGGCAAGAGATGAGAGGGAGGGGTTTATGTGTGGGTCCCACCAAAACAAAAAACTGAAAACAAAAATAATAAAATAATAAGAAAATATCTAGTATACTGAAGTTAATAAAATGCCCTTCAACTTCGTAAGTTCGAAAAATCTTCATCGTAGGTCCAAATTCAAATCCGTTTGCGCCCACTCGTTCGTACCGTCAAGTACTTCGAGAATACTAGTAAAATAGTAGCTTGTACACGTCACGAAAAGATGGTCAACGAAAGTCAACGATCTCGCCACTATTGGCATTTTTGTCAACTCACTCTTTCAAAATTATTAAAATCGTAAAATTTGGGACGGGTTGTTACACCAAGGCTTACGTGGCATGCGTCATGTGTCTCACCAATCGTACATATGACATGTGACTCATCAAAACCAGATGAGTTATCAAGGATGGCACGCTCAACAGTTGACGGAAAGTAATTAAGAAATTATCTTTATTATTCTTTAATTAATTTGAATTTAAATCAAATTAATTGATTTAAAATGCCAAATTAAGGATGAAATGTTATTGATTTTATTTGATTTTAAATCAAATTTAATTTGATTAAATTAAAGATTATTTGATAAAGTCAAATTACAAACCAAGTCTTAGATCAAGTCTTAATTCCTTGATACAAAATTTATGTTGTACTCGTGTTCTTGAGTTATTTGTAGCAAGAAATTCGGTTTACAAGGGATTTTATTTCGTAGTGTTGATTCCTGGGGGATAACATATATAGTTTTGGTGCATATGCACCGAAGGAAGGAAACAAACAAGGAAACGGTGGTCATGTCAGGAAAGTTCCAGCAAAATCCAACTAATAAAAAACTGCGTTGATTGTGATAGTTTATAACTTTATTATATATATAACATACATGTTGCTCAAATAATTAGCAATGACCTATTCAAATGGCAACCCCGGGAGTAGTTTTCTATCATCAATTTCATGTATATTTCGTCGAAAACCATCATTTATATGTGAGTCGTATATGTCAACAGCTAGAAAAAAAATTATATATATGTAGTCCCTCATATCCAACTTACTAGTTTTGTTGAAATGTAGTAGTTTCTTGCCTATCATAAGCATTAGTTAATTAATATTGTTGACTTGCAAGTTATAGCGCATTAAGGGTCAATTCGGTTGCATAATTTCTTACAAGTTTATGTATATGGTATAGAGATTCAACTTATGGCCTTTTGAATAATGTAATAAGAAATAACATAAAGATGCATTAGTTAGATTAATAATTTAATCTAATAAATAATACTTGGTTATTCAAGTTTTTGATGTAAATCCTCCTTAGCCATTGTCACTTTCAGGCTCTGTTTGTTACACTTTCTAAATGAGACTAACTTAGATAGGAGTATCCCTTGTTTGGTGGCGTAAAAATTAAGAATAACATAATAATAGTATACTAAGGGGAAAAAAAAGGCGGGGAAAGGAATGAGGGGGTGTATTAGACAAAGTTTGACTTCTTACATTTTAGAAATCAATACTCCTTATTTTCTTTTTACATGACGATGTTATATCATTTCACCTTACAGATTTCAAAATCTAAATTGTTTATTCTTTTTGTCGTCATCTAAAAATTATCTCTAGAAAATTTAATTTAATTTAATTTGAAGATCATTTAATTAGTCATTCATATGAATCTAACAAATTGACAGTTATTGTAAGGATATTACTTATTATCATATTCGTTATTTGTTAGACACATATAAATGGCTAAACATCTCATATTTATTTAAAAAAAATCGTGTTGGAATAATAAGAATGAACAATTCAAATTATCAAGTTTGTAATACAACATCATCATGAAAGAAAACCAAGTAATATTGTATTTGAAAATTGGGAACCATTGAATGAGTGGAAGGGGAGTTTCGAGCTTGCTTCCTCCCGCGTGTAACAACCGTGTCCCAACAATCGGGTTCCTACCTTCCACACTGATCTCCTTAAACCAATCATTAAAAACCACCGCGTACAAGACAAAGATTCCTCTAATATATACATTGTTTATATATAGATTAATAATCATGTATTGTATATATTCCAGCACAACAGCACTCACCACATCATACAAATTTTTCAGCTCTCTCATCAAACTGAAATTTATTAGCCAACTTTTTGTGAACAATTTGTCTTTCTTTCGTTCTTTCTTTCTGGTGTACCACTACCAGGCCACAGTTTCAATCTACGTACGTAAGTAGAACTATACTCTTTGCTTCCACCCGTTAATCAAGTACTCAACAGTGAGCTGACGACGACGATGACAATGATGAAGATGTCGAAGAAGAAATCATCAAATGGTAATGATGATGATGTCGGTCGACCAAGACCAACACATAGAGCGTGGAAGCTGCTGCGTCTGGCATTGCTTTGGGCAAGAAAAGGCGGTGTTTTCAGGCGACGCCTCATGATGGAACTGCGCGTCGTCCCCAAGTTGCTCAAGAGTAGCCTCGCCCACATGCTTATGCAGCAGCAACAGCAGCAGCAGTATTACTTTGAGCGGCAGCTGTCGTTCGACAAGACCCCCATTTTCCCCACCCTCAAAACGAAATCCAGCTGCTCCCGCTCCTCCTCCATGCGCTTCATCAACATCCCTTGCTTAAACCCACCATCAGTACTTGATTATTTTGATGATGATCAAGTCAACATGATCATCAATAACCATGAAGATCAATCAGAGGATCGCCGCAACTGCTACTATGTTGATGATGAGGATGATGATAGTACTGCAAGGCAGAGCTTTCTTATCAAATGCGATGAGGATGATGATGGCCGTGATATTATTCAGGATGATGAGGAAAAAAAGGTTCCTCTTTCTCCAGCATCAGCTTCTAATAATAATAATATGTACGAGGAGGAAGAGGAGGAGTTGGAGGAATCGATTGATATAAAGGCAGATGAGTTCATAGCTAAGTTTTACCAGCAAATGAAGCTCCAAAGACAGATTTCATACCTACACTACACTCAGAACCTCACATGTTAAGTTAATGATGTTAATCATAAATGTTATTCACATTGTCCATCCACATTCCAAAATTCCACAATTCCACAACTCCACAATTCCACAATTCCACAATTCCACAATTCCACAATTCCAGATCCAGGGGCAAGACAAACAGCCAAAATATTAACGCAGGACAGCCATCGCATTGCGGCATTTTTTTCGGTTTTGTTTTTGGATTCAATTCTACTCTACTGAATTACATTGTATTTATTTTGTAAAAGAAGAGGCATTGCATTGCGTCATATTTTTGCTGATACCGAAGGCTTAGGCTTCCCATTATATGGATGCATTTGAGCGTTTCCTACATTCTCCATTTATAAATTCATAAAAAGAATAACATCTTCGTATAGAGTTGGTTAATTATTTTGTTATGAAGTTTTGTTTTTTGATGAGCGAGGCTAGAAATCTTAAGATTAGGAATTTGAAAGCCCATTTGATAATCAATGATCATGATTCTCTTCATCGTCACACTAAGCATTTGATAAAAGTACCCAGCAATATAACTAGAGAGTAGAGACAGAGTTGGTAGACAAACAGTCCCGGGCTGGCATTGGCATTATTACAACAATATCACACCTTCTGAGTTGTCCCGACCACCTGCTGCAGTCATCGTACCCAGATTCCAGACTGTACTAGTCTACTCTAGTCTAGTCTAGTTTTCTCATGTAGTGACGACATCCCTTGTTAAACAATTTCGCTACACAAACTGGAGCTAAGAGAAATACTGTGTCCCATTTTGTATCGATGAACAGAAATATATCTGTCTCTTCTCAAATGCAATCACTTAAGATGCACCTATTTATGCATACGGAGCACAGAATATTGTGAGTCAAGAGAGATGATCCAACCCATTCCCATCCCACTTTCTCACCCACATTCAGAAAGAGCCAGGGGGAACAATGCACAAACAGCTCAAACGCAAGTCCAATTCTTCTTCTATGGGAGCTCTCGCATTCAAAGTACAAACCTACCTTGAACTAATGATCTGGAGAACTTGTATTTTGATTCTCATCAAGATATGTTTCCAACTGTCCCGTTGCTGCCAAGACCAGACCTACAGTTGCAATGTCACATGTCAACTCGAGTACAGAGATCAAAGGACTCGACAGAAATTGACCAAATAAAAATGACAACTGTAAATAGACAAGTCTATTCTGCCACAAACATGTCCCAAAATCTCTCAACCCTGACTAAGATCTGCACTACATGGTAATTCCATGATGGTTGTTCTAGTGAATACATGTTTCCAAGTAATAATGGTAAATGCGAGTGTATGACATCTATGGTTCACTTGTGTGTCCAAGTACCTAAAAATAGAGGAGAGGGCCTCCCAGGCCGTGATTTAAATTCTGGATGAAACTGCACTCCTACATAGAATGGATGACTTGGAAGCTCTAAAATCTGCACAAGAGAAAAATACCAGAACAAACACAAATCATGTAAAATATAAATCTTCAAAGTCAAATCCTTTTGCAGTAAATGATAGAAAGGACTTTTTGCAACAAAACCCACCTCCATTCGTCTCCCACTGTCATCCTTCCCCACAAATTTCAGGCCAGCTTCTTCAAGAACTCCAATAACATCTGGGTTCACCTACATCATGATGAAATAAGACCATATACACTACGGAAAACATGCTTCTGATACATCATGTTTTCACCTAAATAAATTTACAACAAACCTCATATCTGTGCCGGTGGCGTTCATCCACATACTCTGAGTTATGGTACCTAGCAATTGAGAGCAATAACACATCAGGCACGTAAAATATGGAGGCTAATATTGCAATACTCTTTAAAATGGAGAACTTTAAAGTGGTGGTCATGTGTGATTAGTTTTGACAAAAGCAACCACAGACACAACACAGAGGATAGGTCATCAAAGGCTGCCTGCAAAATAGTACATTGACCCCAAGTTTGTGCCGTGTGTCCTTTTCAGACCGCCAGCATTGGAAGTTGGAACACATGGCACATGCATCGGTTTTACGGTATAAATGCAGCAAAGTTACCTGAAGTTATAGTTTCAGTTTGCAGTAACAGACCGGCTATTTTATGATTTCTAAAACGGAACACAGTAATAGATATTTCACATACAGCTTTGAAGTAATGCAGTCAGGAGCTTGGAAAAGTGTTCTTCTGGATCCCAGTCTCATTGTGCTTCCCATGTGAGTTCTTGATCCCTATACACGGATATAATAAAAAATCAACTGTCATGGGGCGAGGTTGAAGCCATACTTATTTTTAAATTCCAGAGGTAAACATCACCATAAATTGTACCTCAGGCATAAAAATTACAACAGGATTCGGTGTCTGTGCATCAAACTCTGTGCTGTCTGCCCTTTCTAAATCCAAAACCTAAAACAAGTAATTAAAGTAGGGATGATATATGATCAAAATTAAGAATAAAACATGTCAGTTACGGAAATGTTGCTTACAGATCTCGCAAATTCAATCACTGAAATCTGCATGCCCAAACAAATCCCGAGATAAGGAACATTGTTCTCTCTGGCATACTTTGCAGCTAATATCATACCTCTCACACCACGATCTCCAAATCCACCAGGGACCAAGACACATGCTGCATTCTGCAAATAAAGAATAGATTAAAACATAAGCTGTACAGGCTAGGAGACGATAATTTAGCTTAAAGCAGACCTTTAGGGTCTCCCATGCAGCAGCATGTGCTTCTGGTATCTGTACGAAAAACAAATCTTAAGAAAAGACAAAATAATAGACATCAAACGAAATTCTGCAAAAAGAGGAGGGTAATGGTTCAATACCAGTTTGGCACTATCATCTTCAAGGTCAGAAGCAGCAATCCAGTCAATTGATGGCTTTAAAGAACAAGCAACACAAGCATGCAGAAGGGCCTGCAAGACGAATTTAGCAAAATTTTTATATTTTCCGGTCCAGATTTCCATATTCTTCAGCAAGCATTTATGGTAAAATAAACGTATAGGCGGTGACTTATTAACATATATAATTTAACAAGCATGCATTGCACAAGGAGCCATAGACTCATATTTACACTACAAAATGTAATAACTGAATTTTCTTATATGAAAAATCTCTAATGAATTCCGCAGACTAAGTAAAGATACACCGTCCTACCACCCAGCTTAATAATAGAATAGAAGCTACCATCCCACCTTTACTACAGACAAGTACGAATCTGTAAGGCCCACATACTTCCCCACCATGGCAATCCTCACCTGCAAATATAAAATTCTCATCTGGTGAATGAAAAAAACCAAAAGATGTTATGTTCGAAAATCGAGCATCGCACAATTATCTAATAATACTAACAGAATTGGTCAGGTTATCGTAAGTCTCTGCCATCTTGGTCCAATCTCTTAAATCAGGAGGCATGGCAATGCTGAAACAGAACATTAAACACCGGTAACTTAACATAGCCAAACTTCATGCGGTTTGTCTTCCTATATTTATGTAGCATTCCTAGAGAGCACATATATCAGCTAAAAGAACTCCAAGTCGAACAGTATTCTAGAAAGAGATTGCCTTGGCGTCATTACACAAGAAGAAGTTACATAAGCTGATGCTGATCAACAATCAAGCACAAAAGTTGAAGCCTTAGGTCATCTCCAATTGAAAGAGCTAAACATGGCCCCATCCAGAATTATAGCCCCCCCAAAAAAATTTTTTAAATGAACATTGTCAGGCCATACTCATATACCATCTCCAACCAAAGAGGCTAAACATAGCCCCCTCAATATTTATTAGTTTTAAGTCTATACTTTAAATTTATTGGTTAATTTAGTTAAACTACCGTTAAATGTTTTCAAATCTAGTCGTTGAATTTGAATAAGCTATTGCAACTGAGGAGCTGAGCTCTAAAAAAAGGCTAAAAGGGGGCTACATTTGGCCAGCCTTTGGCCAAATAATAGCCTGGTGCGCTCCATAAAATTATAGCCTAGCCATTGGTTGGAGATGAGTTTTTGTGCAAATCAGGTCATTTTTTGACTTTTGGACCTTTAGCCTTCTCCATTGAAGATGGTCTTACATGTGAAGTAATGGGTGAAAACATACCTTAGTAGATTTAGTTGTTGAAGAATTGAATGATGAGCTTTTTGATTCTGAACAACAATTTAGAACAATAGCTTAGATAAAAAAGAAAAATTAAATAAAGTATTAAACCACCAAGGAGACAGATAATTGTTAGTGAACCCACCCTAAGTAAGAGAGGAATGTGCCATATGTTTGGTACATCATGGATATTAAGAATATTACCAGCCTGTAAGAAAGCATAAATAAAATTTACAATATGTAATCAAGAAAATGAAGTTTGATTAAACATATTTAGAAAAAGGCCAAATAGAATTATTCAGCAACAACTTACTGCAACATGACAAAATTGTGAAAGTTTCTGCTTAGTATTTTCCAGCAAAGGCTGCAATGCAGTCACAAAAATAAATAAATACATTACATCTGCACAAAATTTAACCTTAGCAAAATAATGGTAGAGTAAAACACAAGGGAGTCGGGTGATCTCACTGCACCATTGTAGGTGTCCAAGCAAGTCTTAAATGGGAACTAAAGAAAAACTTATAAGGTTAATGGATAGGTGAAAAGAGGTACCTCCGCAGAGCGACATGCTAATAGATGAGGAGTCAAGCCTAATGCTCTTAGTTCCCGCACACTATGTTGCGTAGGCTTTGTTTTCTGCATGGATTACGAACAAGCAAAGAAAGTAAGAAACATAGAAGATTAATCAAACTCTTCTTAAAATTTAATCAACTTTGGTTCTAAACTTACAAGCTTGAATGAGGAACTAATGAAGAAAAGTAATACTCAACAATTAAGTAGAGGAATCTTACTTGCTCTCCAACAACACCCAGTACTGGTATCAGGCTCACATGAATAAGACAGAAGTTCTCTTTCCCTGACGAAAGAATGAAATCAACACCAGCAATTATCATTTAACATCAATGAAAGTTCAAGATCAAATTGCATATCAACTCAAAGGGGAGATAGTTAGTTACTTCTGGATAAGCATTATTCCATTGCATCTATACCCCGGACAACAAAAATAAAAAAGCACCACAGAAAGTCTCAATAACATTGGAATAAAATTGGATTATATCAACATTATTGTGGTAAAGCTGCTCATAACTGACATATCAGACCAGAAATCTAACCATAAGCCGCTCATACCGCGTATTCCTAGAGCAGTCATTGGAAGATGTATATATATCGATCACACAGCATAGAAACATAATAAACAATTGGAAGCCAACATATGGGTGAAGAAATTATCTCATCAGTGGAATCAAAAAATTCCTCAAAAGAACAGAATAAACCACAACCTTACCAACTGAAAAGGACAAATGGCGTAGAGCCTCAATGAATGGCATTGATTCAATGTCACCTAAGAAGAAAGAAGAACAATTATCATAAACACAGAGAAAAGAATAATGCATGTAATGCATCTATGTATTGATCATTGCTTACCCACAGTCCCTCCCAACTCTATCACACAAACATCTGCAGGGCCCTCTTTTCCATCCACAGGAATGACTGAAACAGATTCTATCCATATCTTAATGGCATCAGTTATGTGTGGAACCACCTAAATTGACTCAAATCGCGGAAGAAAGGCAGTCATCAGCATTCAATGCATGTGAAGCAAAAAAGAAAAGGTAGGATCTATGAACACGGTGATTCTGTAGCATCACCTGAACAGTTTTGCCAAGGTAATCACCTCTCCGCTCCTTCTCAAGGACAGACTACAGGGAAGAGGGGAGGAAAAAATTTTAAAATAAAATAAAATAAATGGAAAGCTAATTTGTAATTAGATTAAATAAAACTCATAAAATGAGAGACAAACACCCATGGTTATTAGGAGCACCTGATATATCTTGCCAGTGGTAATGTTGTTATCCCTAGTAAGAGTTACATCTAGGAAGCGTTCATAGTTGCCGAGGTCCAAATCAACCTACAGTTACGATTTGAGTTTAAAAAAACTCAGCAGCATGAAGATTAGAGATAAGACTAACACGGATTTGAATTGGATAGGTATTGGAGAAATTAGCAAGGTCAATGATTACCTCTCCGCCGTCGTCAAGAACAAAAACCTCACCGTGCTCAAAGGGAGACATGGTGCCAGCATCTGTGTTCAAGTATGGATCTGCAGAAGCAGCAGCAGCAGTAGAGTAAATCAAATCAAATCAAATCGAAGAGAAGATGATTAAGTAATAAAAGCAGAAGGAAGGAAGGAAGGAATAAAGAGAAGGAACCGATTTTGATGGAGGTGACGCGGAGGCCACAGGCTTTGAGGACGAGGCCGATGCTGCTGGCGGTGACGCCTTTGCCCAGCCCACTGACCACCCCGCCTGTAACCAACACGTACTTCATCAGGAGCACACTCTCTTCCCTTCCCTCCCTGTCACTTGTATTTTGCAGGCCAAACGTTTGTGTTTATGACTGAGCGGGAAACGCTAAGGGAATAGTGCCTTATCGTATCATAATCATATCGTATCATATCGTGTGATGGAGATGGATGCTCAAAGTCCTTTTCCAAGTTTCCATTTCTTACACACGTGGACGTCCCTCTTGGTATTGGATGGATGGAATCATTGACTTTTCTATTTTTGTTTTCTTTTCTTGTTTAGGAGAAAATAACTTTTTACAACGCATGATTAGCAATGTCACATATAGACAAATTTCTCTTAGACAAAGATTGTCTGTCCTTTCGTAGCCTCTAGTTTGTGTGATCACGGTTAAGTTACGTCAACCTTTTATATTACTATTCATTTTTATCTTATTATTTTTATAAAAAAATAATATAAAATGTTAACTTATCTTAACCGTGACTACACAAAACAAAAAGACACGAAAGGGCACCAGAAGTAAAAGGGCGGACAATCCTTGTCCATTTCTCTTTTATGCTTGGTTCATTTTCTTTTGTTTTCCACCAATTAATATCTAACAAGCCTGTTCATTTTATTCCCTTTGCCTAATTAAGGACCGTTGCTGCTGAGTGAGGGAGGAATAATCCCAGTTCCTCCGGCATCCATCCCACTTCCATTGCAATTAGTAAGTGCATTTCTTTTTCTCTCTCCGTCATCCGGATCTTCTTTTAATTCAATTGATATGCACATATCACAAGCAACGAATTAGCCATGGCATGCAAGCCCACAATAACTTATTTATCAACATATTCGATTTCACTTTCGTTCTGTTATGACAACACTATAATCACATCGGATTCCTCTTCACTGGCGGAGTTACACTCACGGCTACTATGGGCTGTAGTCTAGGGAGGACTATAACAAACTGCAGCTATAGTAGTTTGTACATGAGCTTGTTGTTGCTTATTGTAGATATAATAGCCCACTCAAATCCTGTCAAAACTATTAGTTAATGTATTTCTTAAATTATAAATAATACTTTTGTTACCTTATATATTATTTTATTATTTTATCATTTTTAGGCTAAAAGTAAAAATGGTAAATTAATACATAATTAGGTTTCTCCTATTCCCCATGTTTTTTACCCTATTCGTTCAAAACAAAAAATTTAAACTCTCTACCTTAAGAAAAGAAAAACTATGAATCACCATCAAATTATTTTCTAATGATATTCAACAGTAGGTATGTTCTTCATCTATTCATTTAACTTATTTCTTGATTCAATTGTTAGGTTAATTTTTATTCGTCCTTGAATTTGTCTATTAGGGTTAAAGATTTTAAGAATAGTCCATGTTTCATGGTTCTTGTATTTGTAACTAATAAAAAGGGCTCGACGACAATATCGATTTTGATAATAACAAAAGATTTCAATTCCATTACAGATATCTATGGCACAACTTGAATTGGTATCCCCTAACCTTTTTTTCTTTTGGGTACTTGTTTTCAACAAAAGTGATAATATTTGTTATCTTTCAATTGCTTTTTTGTATGCATGTTTTATTTGTGTAAAAAATAGTTGGAAAGTAATTAATAAACTCGTTTGGATTAGTACTTCATGTTCTTACTTTTATGTAGATTATTATAGTATTTTATGTAGGCAAAAAAAAATATCATATGATTACATGCTAATAATTTTAGCTAACCCATCCAAAAAAAAATTTCTGACTCCACTATTGATCCGCTTTCAGTTGTAAATATTATTACAAAGGGCATGCAATTCCATTACATAGCGTCACATTTCGAATTGAACCGATGAATCAACTTCTTTACCCCCATTCATATCTTACATCTGTGTCAACACGGCATTGTGTTGTACTAATTTTCCGCCTGCTACATTAAAGTATCTCCTTTACAAACATAATTAACTCCATCTTAAAGAAATGGAAATGGAAACAAAAACACATTCAATTTTGTGAGTCTTGGGCTGGTGGGGGAAGGCCCAAGTATATTGTGTTCTTTTTATGGAGGCCCAGTAATCGAGGGGCTTAGAAGCGGCGTCGTTTTTGTGTTCCCATTCCTTTCTCGAGCAGCATTGTGAGAGAGTCGGAATCCAGCTACTCTTTTGAACGAAACAGTTTCATTTGCCTTCCTTCCGCAGGGAAATGATGAGACCGACGTGAATGGAAATGATAAGTAAAGTGAAAATCCAGTAAAAAGAGATTAGACGAGAGAGAGAGTAAGCTGTCAAATGCGTCCGGAGTCCAGCTCATCAGGCGGAGGTGGAGGAAAAGGAGGAGGTGGTGGCGGCCCAGAGATAGAATCTTCATCATCTGCAAATGCATCCGCTGCATCAACTTCATCGTCTTCTTCACCATCTCCATCTGGGAAGCGGAGCAGAGATCCTGAAGATGAGGTTTACCTCGACAATTTCCACTCTCACAAGCGTTATCTCAGCGAGGTTTCCTTCTCGTCTTTTTTCTTTCAATTTCTTTACTTTTGTTTAATGGAATTAAGCTAAAGAGTCTTCCTTTTCCTTTCAAGAATGAAAATTTACTGGCTCTAAATTCTGATTCATTTCCATCAGAATTGAATTCATTCATGGGTCTTCAAACAATTTTGTTAAATGTTTCTTTTTTATTATTATATATATTTATCATTAATAGGCCTTATTTTGTTAGTGTTTCAAGTGAAACTAGTCCTTCATTTCCCTCATAACTCGCTTGTTTGTTGTGCACTGCACTAGTGCAGATTATGGCATCTAGTTTGAATGGACTCACAGTTGGAGATCCACTCCCTCTCCCTGACAATCTCATGGAATCTCCAGCAAGGTCTGATACCTTGTTTTATCCAAGGTTACTTCTTCTTTCACACTCATATCAAACTTGTCAATCACTTTACATAACATCGTCATCTGCTTTTGGAACCCTCTCAAATGAACTACTCCTTCCCGCATACATAACTAACTGCAATTCCTTCATTCATTCATTGTTATGATAACCTTGCGCTTCACATTCGGACTGTGTATGTTTAAGTGGCCTAGTTTCATAGGTCATAGGTGCTATTGCATCTTTCTATGTTAGTTCACCCTCTTTTTTAGTAAACGTACCTTGATTTTATGAGTTATTCCAATCCAATCCTAGAGACCAAACGAGGCTTGTAAAACATCTTAGGACTACAGGTTCGTGTTCATGGTTTCTTGGGTTATGGGACTCAACGTTTTGTATTTTCTTTGACTTATTTCCTATTTTGTTCTTATTTTTTCCCCGAATTCAGTCTGTTGGTGATAACCGTGATATCATATGACTCAAACAGAATAGGCCATCTGATGTTATAGACTGTATAGTTTCGACTGGAAGTGGTTATGATGCACTCATATAAGCTTCCTTTTGCAAGAATGTAATCGTACTTTTAACTGTCATACTTTGGGCCTTTTGCTTAAGTGGTATACCAATAGGTGAATTTGGTACTTCATGTGGCTGCTTAAAATTTTCATCCTTTTCTTCAGTCGTCCAAATGTTATCGCCTTTCCTTCAAGTGTTTTTTCTCTTTTTGTTTGATCGGGGCCTCGAGTGCCCCCCTTCCTAGGGAACCTTCAAGTCAATGTTTTCCACATTACATTAAACAGGAGTTCTCTGCATTGCTTTCTCCACCTTGATTCTTCCTGAAAAGGAGAAAATTGTATGTCCTTTATTATGCTGATCTGATTTTTCATTATGTTTTCATAACTTTATGCTTCCAGGGATGAGATGTGTTTACAATATTCACCAATGTCAGAGGACTCAGATGACTCTCGATTTTGCGAGAACCCCATAAATACTTGCTCCTCCCAACCTGATAGCGTTCCCTCGAGTCCTGTCTCTCCTTATAGGTACCAAAGATTTCCTTCCACTTGTCCGAGTAGTTCACATGGCTGCACTGTCACTAATTTCAACTGCTCCCAGCCTCGTCAACGAGGCTCTGATTCAGAGGGGCGATTCCCATCATCACCTAGTGATATTTGTCACTCAGCTGACTTGAGGAGGGCTGCACTCTTGCGGTCTGTGCAAATGAGAACACAGCCTGCTGGCCCACCGTCTTATGAGTTGGAGTTTGGTTCCGGGCAAGAGCCTGTATCCGATATTGAAGCTGAAGAGCAGCCATGCTCCTACATGAAGTCTTTAGTTGATGAGAGGGACTATCCAATTGCGGGGTGTTCTTCTATGGGTATCACGGAGCCTGATTTTAAACAAGAGAAATCGTGTGGGATGTTGGATATGGATGTGAAAGGGATTGATTCTGCAGATTAAGTAAGTGCATGCTTCAGTGATGTTCAGATAGATACTTGCTTCATTTGCAGAATCTGGAGTGCAAGATGAGCATTTAGGCTATCGCTTTGTTGCATATGAAGTGAAGGGCGTCATGAGTCGCATGTTCATTTTTGGGAAATTGGCCATTGTTGAACTATTTTAAACAGGCGGAGAATCGTTTACCCTGCTGTTATGTGGAAGAAGGTGAATCGTTTATTCCTTTCCTTTGTTTCCTTTGTGCTAGGGACAGCTTATCAAACGGTCGTGAGATTATTGTAAAGTAAATTATTCATTTCCCATTGTTAAGAGATGGTCAATTACGATTACGACTCTCATTTCTCCGCCACTGGTAAGCTAACTAGAGCAATAATTGAATGGCAATGGATATAATCAACACTTGTGTAGGTTCTGTCCGTTCAAATAATGCCTCGGTCGCATGTACATTTTGCCCCCTGCTAGTTTTGGGTCAGTGACATCAAAAACGTGTGGCCAGTCATTCGTAATTCTCCTAACATGCAATGCATTACTACAACTATCTATGGTAGGGTAGGGGCATAATTTCCCAGCTGTGTTGTTGTTGTGAATACTACTGGGTGTTGGTGATGTGAGGATGAGCCTCCCTCAAGGTGCAACGAGGCATTGTGCAGACGCTCCAAGTCTTCTTACGTCCGCCAGTTGACGGCTTATCTCCAATCTCAAATCATAGTTAGCCTTGCTTTGCTTGCTCCTCACTTCAGGGGAGGAGTCTCTTCCATGTAAATCAGCTCACCACTTGTGGCCGTTCACGATCGTCTGATTCAATCTGACAACCATAGGCGCAAAAACCAGAATTAAGCATGGGAGACTATTCATTAAAGCAAAAACAATTAACAAGGCAAGAAGTTGTATCTAGTCGAGCAGCACCTAGACTTGAACAATTACTGTAGTGGTGCGCTCTTCACTCTTCCATCCGAATACACAAGCAAATATATATACAAAAAAATCCCAGGAGTAAAGAGCTTATGACAGGCAGTAGTCATCTGTATATGCGTCCAGTACTTTCCAGATTAAAAAAAGCAAATGCAATGCTATTGATGAAGGTACAAATGCAAACGAAATCAAGAAAAGAAGAGTAAGTGTTTTCTTACCTTTTTATTGCGTTGTCTTCCACGCTAAACAAGGCATCAACTGCATCTTCTTTTGTCCTTACAAGCCCCTCTAAGCTACCACAAGACGTGCACATTTGAGTGTACTGCTGAGTCTGTTGTCTCCGAGTTTATTGGTAATTCTAATGGTAACTTCCTCTTTCTCCTCCAGTGGATCAATTGAACGACTGAAACTCCGTACAACAACCTCCCAATCCGAACCTGCTCTTTTGAATCATGGACAGTAAATAATTATCCAGAAACAATGGAAAATGGGGGTTATTCAACAGTTCAAGGGTAAACGACAATGTATATGACATATTCGTAAAAGTGGGCAAGGGCCTCTTTCAATAGGGAAGGTTGATTGCAGATATGTTCTCACTGCAATAGTAATAGATGAGAAGGTCATATTTTCGAATAAATAAATAAATATTGTTGTTATTGTTGCAGTTGTCATGATAGAATTAAATAGTTGGACAAGAGTTACCCAGTTTTGAGGAATCATCTTTCAATCTCATGCTGCTTTCTAAAGGCATTAGAGGTCTCTTCGCACGATTAAAACTTGTTTGGTATCCTATTTGAAAATTTTTATCATTTCTCAAAACATTTTTTGGGAACACTTCTTGAAAACAATTTTCTTTAAGACTCAAAAACTTAATTGGTATGCAATTTAAAATTTTTAAATCTTACGACTTAAAGTAGAACAAAGAGATCTAAAAAAAAGGGGGGGGGTTGCAAGAGAATGAAGGAAAAAGAAAGAAGAGAGAGGATCGGACGAGATAGAGAGAAAGATCAGTGAGAAAAAGAACCTAAAAAATGAAGAGAGCGGATTGGAGGAGAAACGAAAAAGGAGGGGGGGGGGAAAAGAGGTGAGAGAAAGAAGAAAAGAGAGAGATAGATTTGGAGTGAGAAGGAATGAGGGTGAGAAAATGAGTGAGTTTAAGCTTAAAAACTCTAAAAACTCACTTTTTATGTTTTCAGAGAATAGACTATATTTTTTAGTTAGTCTTGAATTCAGTTTTTGAAAATAGTCTTACCAAACAAGTTTTTAAGACCTAAAACTTGAAAATTGTTTTTGAGTTTAAAAAGTTGGATTCAAATACGCTACCAAACAAGCCCTTAGTTTTCTGCTTGAAATGAAATTTGTAACACCACATGGCCACATGGCATGTCTCGGTTCAACAATATTCATGAAACTGCAAGCAAAGGTAATATCTCTATAGCGCACACGCACATAAACAAAGTAATGAATGTACCAGGTTGGGACATTAGGCCATCTCCAACTAAAGGCTGGTCAGACGTTTAATATTTTAATGAACACTACAGGATCATATTTGCCTCCATCTCCAACCAAGGGCCATAGGACTCGTTTTAGCCCTGTCACAAAAAACCATTTCCAACCGAGAGCCAAAGGGCCAAACATAATTTATTATTTAAATTTAAAAACAACAACTTATATTTAAAAACTACAACTTAAATTTAAAAACGACAAATTAAATTTAGCTTCTCTGTCATCAACTTCAACTTCCGAGGATGAGTTGGAGCTTTAGGAAATGGGGAGTAGGGAGCCCAATTCGAAGCAGGTGTCATCTTCAGAAGATGAAGAATGAAAGGACTGGGGGACATTGTTGTTGGAATTCCTTTGTCCCACATTAGCCAGAGGACTTGAGAACAAGCCCTTTATATAGAATTACCCCACTCTAACTAATACCAAGACCTTTTGTATTAAAACCCCACACCTGACGGATTGAGCAGATGGCGAAGTGGGGACAGTATCGGTGTTGTTGGAGTGGGCTCATGGCCCGTCTACCTGAAATTTAAGATGGTATCAGAGCCAGGGGACGGGCTCGTACATCCACGTGAACAGGTGGGTCCCCTTTGACCTCGCGCAAACTAGTGAGCCCCGACTTCGCTCCACGTGGTTGCCGATGTGTGAAACTTCACGTGAGACCCCACACCTTGTTGAAGTGGGCCCATGACCCGTCTACCTGAAATTTAAGAGTTGTTATGCAAGATAAAGCCTTATTCCTCAATCATTTTCTATCCTTATATATATTTAGAGGTTTGTCATTCATATAGTATGCATTAAATTAATGCAATGCCATGCCTTGATAATGATTCATTAAAAAATAAATAAGGATTTGAAAAACTGAGGTAAAATTCGGAAGTAATTACCGAATGAGCTTTGTTACGAATGAAATGAAGAGCTCTTCACCTGTAAAGAATGAAATGAATACTCAGAAATCGTCATCTATTCTATCGGGTTTTGAAGCCAAAGTAACAGCTAGAGAAAGAAAAACCCTTTTACCAGTGGCAGTGAATGTTCTGAGGCGATTAGGCTTCAACCTCAACATCCCCACTCCCTCCGCACTCCGCAGCCAACGGTGCAGTCAACCGCCAGCATGCTGACAATGCGACGAGTATTGTAGTGGAATCATCATTCCACTGCTTTGTACTTGTGAGCTTCATCATGCTGACAGTGCGACGAGTACTGTAGAAACGATTCAAGAGTTCCCGCTTCAATTGCTCCCAGTTGTTGATGGACTCAGGCTCTAGGTCTGTGTACCAATCGAACGTATTCCCATTCAGAAAGCGGACAAACTGTTTTACGAGGTAGTCTCCCTCCATCCTAACATTGTTGCAAGTTTTGACGAAATAAGCGATGTCTTGCTTTGGGTTCCCCTTTCCGTTAAACTGCATAAACTTTGGTGGTTGGTACCCCATTAGCATCCGCAAGCTATCAATCCTCTTGGTGTATGGCTTCGAGTACATCAGTGCATACCTTGAAGTGCCTCCATATTGTGTCTTGATGGTGTTTGTGATCATGTCTTGAAGTTGTTGGATGGAAAGAGAGCCCATTAATGTAGCTTCGAACACTGGTTTTTGTTTCCCTCCAACTTTGTCGACATGATGCGTTTTTCTCTTGCCAGACTATTCGTCATGCTGATTCTTCTTTAGGTCAAGGTCAGCTTCTCCATCATGCTGTGATTCCAACATATTCATGAGCGTAGCGATCTACACGTATTTCTCCTCGACAATCTTTGTTAGCTTCGCGATATCCTCATTCATCTGTGCAAGTTGTTCCTTAATGAAGGTGGCACTGATGATCATGACTTGTGCAACCCAATAATGTGACTCTCTTGCAGACATCAAGGGTGCTGGCAAAGTCTCCGTGCAATGGTTGTTGGTTGGTGATCTGCAGTAGGATCATGCACTTGAGTCCACATCTGAACCCAGTGATAATGAGTGCTCCCTCGAGTTCTTCGAATCCCACTAGCCGCTTTAGGATGACATCCTACATGCCACAGCAGCATGCTTCGATGCCCCCAGCGGGGCTATGTTGATGACGAACACGCGCCTCTGACGCTCCCTTTACTCCCTCAGTGGCACCAACTTTGAAGTAGCATGTTGAAGAGTGGCGACTGCCTTCACTTTGCTCCGGGTTAACACGCCAAAAGATTCTTCGCTTGCGATAGAAGTACTCAGGCTCATTCCCTTGGTTGCGAGAATGGTTTGTCCCTTCTTTGATGCCATTGCGTTTGGAAGTATGTTTGGATTTCTTGAACGAAGAAAGAGATGAGAGGAAGAGATTGTCCTCCTGGGCGTGCCAAATTTGTAAACACAAAAATCCTGTGACGAATGAGATAAGAACATGTGTATAAAATAAATTTGAATTAATGTAAATTTAGGGTTACAATTTCTTTACAACTTGATCCTCTGATTCAATCTCCGAAATGTGTAGATGTAGTGTTGTTGATCCAAGGGTCGCGATGACTTGATCTTGGATGAACGGATGCCGCAAAGTTTTGGCTCTTGGCAATGGAGGAACCAACACGTGTAGGGGTGCTTAGTGGTTCTTCATAGGATTTGGCGAAGAACACAACGGATTTTCCGAGTCTTCTTGAGTGTTTGAGTGTTTAGAGGGTTTGAGTACTTGAGAGCTTCAGAGTTGCAAAGCTTCAGTGTCTGGGTGTGAAATGATTTCTGGACCCCTTTCTTTGTCTTGGAGCCTCCTATTTATAGACTTTCCAAGCCTTGACTACGGATGGATTTGGCCTTGATTGTGGGCTTGATTAATCGACAAAAGGACCAGGACTTGATTTGTGGGCCGGTTCATGATTTGTCTCCATCAATTAATATTTGATTTAATTAAATTAAAATCAAACAATTCATTTCCACCAAATGTTGACATGTGTCCTTCT